GCCCCCATCGTGCGTACGGTCCCTGCTCCAAACGCCACCCATGGCTCCCCATAGCCCCTGGATGGAGTCCAGGCTTGCCGGCCTGGGTTTGAAGCCCTTGCTTCTGAGCCTGCTCAATTCATGCCCCTTCCCGCAGCTACTTTACCACGTTATCCCCGAATGTCCCCACCCCATCCCCTTCCCTACAGCGGACAACCGGATTTTACGCAGGAATCTGGCGGCCACGTTTGCGGCAGAAGGTAGGGCCCGCCCTCAGCCCAGAGGTGAATTCTGATTGGTTGAACAGAGTTGACGGGCTGTCAGGCACAATCATGTAATACAGCACTGGCCAATGGCCTGTTGGGGGTGGGGTTTCAAGGAAACTCACAAATGCCCAGGCGGACTGTGTCTGGAGGTGACCCAGTATAGCTTGACGTATGAGTTTCCTGTTTGCTGCTTTAACAAAGTGCCGTAAATTTAGCTGCTGAAAATAGCACACATTTATTACTTCTGGAGATCAGGAGTCCGACAGGAGCTGAAATCAGACGTATTTGGGGGCCTTTATTCTGCGCATCACGGCGCTCAGTATTGTTGAGTGCGTGGCTAGTTTCGCAGACATTTGTTGCTGCATCCTGGCTGTGTTCTTGCTCCTGGCACACAGTCGATCCTCCACCAGCATCTTGATTGAGGGATTGCATGGTGGTCTCTGTCCCTGCCAGGCTGAGAGGTGGAGGGACCCCACCCCCTTTTCCGGGGGTGGGGGTGGGGGTGGGGCAGCCTTGGTAAAGCCCTGAAAGCTGATTACCCAATTTGGTAAACGTGCTACTGTTTCAGGTAAGAGAGAGGCCTGCTTTTGGAAGTACGCCTGGTCGTGTTTGGGATAAAGGGGCGTGGGGGCAGTAACGTTGCCTGAAATTCCACACAGACACAGAGAGAGAGCAAAAAATGTCAACCACTGGGGCGTCTGGGTCAAGGACGCCCGGGTCAATAATACCCTTTGTATTATTCTTGAAACTTTTCTGCAAGTTAGAAATTGTTTAAAGTAACAACTTTTGAGCAGCACTCAAGGGACATTCATCAGGAGAGAGAGAATGGAGGCATCCATCTTCCCCACTGGCTTCCCCGTCCCTGTTCTGACGGCTTATTCCTGAAAGATTCTTTGAGCAGGTAGAAATGAAGGAAGTTTGATCTAACATGATGGTGACTACCCTCCTGGGGAATAGCTTGGGGAATATCGGAGGTTCTGGGGCTGCAGGGTCCTGGGTCCTGGTCTGGGTATGGGTGACTCAGGGGTCCACGTCAGGCCATTTGAACAGAACTCTGAGGAATTACTGTGTGTATTTATATCTCCAAACCAACAAATAAAAAACAAAGTTAAAAAACAAACCCATTCCACAAACTAAAACATATGAATTAAAAAGTGGGGCTTCCCTGGTGTTGCAGTGGTTGAGAGTCCGCCTGCCGATGCAGGGGACACGGGTTCATGCCCTGGTCCGGGAGGATCCCACATGCCGTGGAGCGGCTGGGCCCGTGAGCCATGGCCGCTGAGCCTGCGCGTCCGGAGCCTGTGCTCTGCAACGGGAGAGGCCACAGCAGTGAGAGGCCCGCGTACCGCAAAAAAAAAAAAAAAGTGAAAAAAAGGAAAAAGCACAACTCAAAAAGTATCAACAGAAATCAAAAACAAACAAACAAAAAAGCAAATGGGGCTTCCCTGGTGGTGCAGTGGTTAAGAATCTGCCTGCCAGTGCAGGGAACACAGGTTCGCGCCCTGGTCCGGGAAGATCCCACATGCCGCGGACCAACTAAGCCCGTGCGCTTGCACTCTAGAGCCTGCGAGCCACAACTACTGAAGCCCGCGCACCTAGAGCCTGTGCTCCGCAACAAGAGAAGCCACCGCAATGAGTAGGCCTGCGCACCACAACAGAGGAGCCTCCGCTCGCCGCAACTAGAGAAAGCCCGCGTGCAGCAACGAAGACCGAATGCAGCCAAAAATAAATTAATTAATTTTTAAAAAGCAAATGAAAAATAGAAATAAAAAACACAAACCAACAAATATAAATAAAAAGAAAGAAAGACATAAGAAAATATTTAAATAAAAGAATAAAAAGCAAACCCCAAAATGCATGAGCAGATAGCAGTGTACTCATACCTGTTGAAATAATGCTCGGTGGAGCAGTGGCCTGCCTGCAAGGTGGGTAACAGCAGTGCTTTCTCCAGCTCCAAAGCCTCCAAAGGTCCCTCCCAGAGGCTTGATTTGAACCCAAGTCAGTGACTTGGGTGGGGGGGGGTGACACGGTTCTGTCCTGAGGGGTTACCTCATAATCCACTTTCAAAGACTTTTCAAGAAAATGCTGAGAACCCATCAGGAGGCACCTGTGTCTCGCTGCACCCCGCAATCAGAGAGCCCTGGGGTGGCCAGGGCACCCCTCACAAGTCTGTCCCATCAGTGGCAGCAGCAAGGTGGCCACCAGTCACAAATGGATGCCTGAGGCCCAAGAACCTCAGGAACACTGGATCACATGCAGACAGTGGCCCGATTTCTTGAATTCAAATGCCCCAGTCCCAGGGTGACCAACAGGGCAAGTAGCCCAGACCCAGAGGTCCAATGGTGGAGTCTGCTATATGACCATGTTTGAGCCTCAGTCTCCTCATCTGTAAAATGGGAGTCTTCATTTTTCCCACATCATGGTGCTTGTGTGAGGATTAAACTTCAGGCCTGGCACATCCTGAGCTCTTAGTTTTATAATATACAAAACCCCATATTCTTGTTCCCACTGTATCCCCAGCACCCTGTGCAGGCCTGGCGCTGAGGTGCTTTTGAGCACCTACTATATGCAGGGTATTGGCTTCACATATTGGGAGACACCACTGATAACTCCTGGATCCAGAAGTGGCCGTGGCAGGGGGAGAGGGAAGAAGGCACTGGGCAGCCGGGTGCAGCAGGAGATGTGGGCTCCCCCAGGATAGGGTAGGGGCAGCCTCATGAGAAGCAGGTAAAGAGAAGGGAAGGTAGGAATGGCACTCCCAGCAGAGGGCATGACCAGGCAAATGCCCTGAGGTGGGATACAGATTGGCCTACCCATGGGCGCCAATGAGACTGGGCTGGGGAGGGGTGGGAGAGGGGCAGATAAACTCAGGGCAGGCAGCAGGGCCCAGTGAGGAGGTGTTTTGGGTACCACAGGTGCCCCAAGCCTAATCCAATCTCACAACCCTGAGAGGCAGTTTCTGCCGCCTGCCCAGAGAGGTTAAGCGAGTTGCCCAGGACTACAGAGCCATTGTGACTTGGTGGGATTTGAACGCATGCCCGCTAACTCCAAGGCCTCTTGCGCAGTACCTCATAAACTTCTGCAGGATGGGGAATTCCCTGGCAGTCTAGTGGTTAGGACTACGTGCTCTCACTGCCGAGGGCCCAGGGTTCAATCCCTGGTTGGGGAGTTAAGACTCCACAAGCTGCGCGGCAAAACAAACAAACAAACAAACAAACAAGAAAACCCACACTAAAAAAACAAAAACAAACTTCTGCAGGATGAATGAATGAATGAATGAATATATGTCTTTGGTGCGAAACAAGCCCAGGGCTAGGCATTAACGGCCTGAGGCAAAAGGCCCATCCTGGGGGGCGGGGCAGGGGTGGGTGGGTGTTGCCTGGTTTCCCAGCAACAGGGTTGGGGCGCTCTCTGGTGGTCAGAGCAGGAATGGCTTGGAATCACTGAGCCTTGAGGGGTACAAAATGGTGGCTGGCAGACAAGTCTCTGTTCCTAGTCTCTTGACATTCAAAATCGTTTATACACAGGCTCCAATTTGTAATTCCTTGACACTCGTGCTCCAGTGCTCCCTTCAGCAGGAAGCGCAACTCCAACCAACTCCTATTCGTTCTTCAAAGCCCTGGCTCCAATGTCCTCTCCCCTGGGAAGTCCTGTCTGTCTCCCCAGGCTGAACCAAGTCTACCCTAGGGACTCATCCTCCGGCTCAACCTCACGGGGCTGGAGGGTATCTTCAACCAGCTCTGTCTCCTCCAGACATGGAGTACTTCAGAAAACCACTTTTATTGCCTGTTGAGTCTGTGATTGCCCCTGCTGTGTCCTTGCACCCAGCAAAGGGTCTGGCATACTACGGGAGCTCAATGAAAGTTTGTCGAGTGGATAAAGAAATAAGTGCATGATTGGCCTGGAACTAACCTCAGAAATGACCCTGGCCTGCTGATTAATTTTTTGGGGGGTTTAGGTTTTCTGCGCTCTTCTCACCTGAAGGCATCATGGAAACAAGGCCATACCTGGCAGGCCTCAGACTCTCTTATCCCATGTGCCACACTGAGACATGGGAGGGCAGCCCTCCTTGATTCAGGAATGGGTCTCCTGTCTGTATGCATTCAACGAATGTTTATGGATTGCCTGTGTGCCAGGCACTGTTCTGAGTCCAGCTGGGAACAAGATACAAAAATCCCTTCTGTTGTGGAGCTGACCCTACAGTTTATCAGGCGGAAATGAGTGCTATTGCGGAGGGCGCCTCAATAGATGGACATTTGAGCAAAGACTTGAAACGTGTGGGTTAGGAAGCCACGCAGGTGTCCTGGAAACGGTGCACCGGGTAGGGGCACAGCCAGTGCAAAGGCCCGGAGGTGAAAGCGCTCAAGAGCGTCCCAGGAACAGAGAGGACAGAAAGGTGAGAGAAAGGTGGGACTTGGCAATAAGAGCAATAACGAGGGAAGCGGGGACCTTTGTAGATTTGTAGAAGAGGAAGGGCTCGGACCCGCCCAAGACCCGCCTTCGGCCTTTCCCGCAGCCTTCGGCCCCGCCCCCAACCCCACCCCGGGCCCTGATCCAGGTTTGTCAAGGGTACTCGGCCTCGCCCCCTCAGGACCCGCCCCCCTGCCATCCCCACAGCCTGGCCCCGCCCCGGCGCTGCGCCCGCTCCTAGTTTGCCCCTCGGCAGCCACCGTCGCCCGGGCCACCGCCCGCCGCGTGCGCCGCCTGCTCCGCTTCCGCCGCCCTTCCCTGTCTCACGCCGTGCGTGCCCTGCGTGCCTTGCGGGAGCGTGCGCGGGAGCGTCGGCCGGCGAGGGAGCAGCAAACGGCCGGCGGCGGGCGGCGAGTGCCGCGCGGGGGGCGGGCGGCGCGGAGGAGGCGGCGGTGGCCATGGCCGAGGCGTCACCGCAGCCCGGACGGTACTTCTGTCACTGCTGCTCGGTCGAGATCGTGCCGCGCCTGCCGGTGAGGCCCAGGCCAGGCGGGCGGGGGCCTTTGCCTCAGCCTGAGGCGAGCTGGCTCGGACGGGGAAACTGAGGTCCCCGCGGAGGGCCCGGAAGCGGGCGGCCCTGGTGGCGCAGCTGGGCCGGCGGCCGGGAGGGAACGGGGCCGGCCCCGAGCGCGGTCGGCGCCGCGGCCGCCTCGTGGGAGGGAGTCGCCGCTCTCCCGGGCCCGACGGCGGCCCAATCCTGCGTTCTTCTGCCTCCCGGGGGTGGGGGCCTGCACCCAGGTGGGCCCTGCGCCCTCGCCCGGGTGGAGGCCGCGGGAGGGCTGCTCGCGAAAGGCTCGGTTTCCAGACCTCTCAGCCCGGAAGTTCCGAGTCGGTAGGTCCAGGATGGGATCAGTGCCCCAGCTCCCGGCCGACCCTCCCCCGCTGCACGGGTGGAAGACTGAAGGCACGGCGGCCCCGCTCCCGGCATTTGCCGCTCGGCTAGCTCTCGGGGAGCAAGAAGCGGGCGGTGCGGTTGACCAGGGGAAGGAGCTGCAGGTGGCAACGATTGATAGAGTACCAGCTCTCCTTGGTCACCTGGTTGATTTAGAGCCAGACTCTTAGTCCTGCCTTTGCAGCTGTGGGCTTCCCTGGGGGAGGCAGGAGAAGGAGTTGGTGGACATTATCCCAGCTTCAGAGGATACTGAGCTAGAGTCAGGGTTTGGAGGGGAGAGGAGTGCCTGGGCCCAGGAGGAGAGAAAGGGTAGAGGTGGTGTGGCTTCCAGAGGCAAGGGGCTTGGCGGGGGTGCATAAATCGAAACCCTGGGTGCATGAGCAGACTTGAGGAGCTGAGACTTGCCCCACTCCCCCACTCCAGCGTCCCGGAAGAAGTCCTCCTTCTGCCTCTTCCGGCTCCCTGCACGCCCCAGCAATGGGTCTGGTTTTCTCGACTGGCAGGAAGGGGCTGGTCGCAGGACAGTCCCCAGCCTGGAGGAGCTGCACGCAGCCCCTCGCAGCTGTTGTGAGCCCTGGACAGGCCCTGGGTCTCAGGCTTACCCTAGAGTGGCCTGTCCAGAGCCATCGGAAGCCTGGGGCCGAGCAGTCTGTGTTGCTAGCTGTTTTGGCCTCCCCTCCTGGGGCCAGCCTGGGGCCCGGGTCCTGGCCCAGAAGGACCCTGACCTTTTCCGACTGTCACTGGGCTAGCGAGGTTTCTCCTAGTCACAGGATCCAATGGTGACAAGGTAGCCATGATCTTTGCCCTCCCAGTTTATAGGGAGCCAACGCTGAACAAGCGATTGGCAAATATTTGATCGGGAACGTTGGTAAATTCTGTTAAGCGCAAATAATGGCAGGGAGGGGACCGGCGTGGAGTTTGGGATGGGATTGGAAGAGGCCCAGTAGAGTGGGTGTCTGTTTATGAGTAAGGGGCGTACTTGGTGTTCTTGGGGGCAGGAAGGTGGGCTCTTAACATGGTGACGTTGGAAGTGCCCCACCAGCAATTGCGCTCTCCGCCACCACCACCACCCCTGCCCCCCAGCCCCTGCCGCCCGCCAGCACGGACCTCTGTTCACGGGAAACCAGCCCGAGGTTGGTGTGCAGTGAGACGCTGGCTGGTGTTGAGCTGCTCCTCCTGACCTGCTGTCGCGGCCCTCTGCCCGCCCTCTGCCCGCAGGCTTCCTCGCAGCAGCCCAGACGCCCTGGGCCTCGGTCTCCTCGCCTGTCAGACGGGTTGGCGAGGGCACCCCTGTGCTTGACGGGCACGCGTGGTCAGGGGGAGCCCGGGAAGCTGAGGAGGGGCTGGTGCCTGCCTGGAGCGGGCACGTGGGAGCAGGAACCGGACCGGCTGGCCGATCCGGAGGCCTCTGCGCAGGTGCGCAGGCCCAGACTCGATTCCCCCAGGAAATGGGAGCACCAGGGACGAGGTGGACATGGGGCGTCCGCGGGCGGGCCCCGCGGGTGGGCGGACCAGGTGGCGTTTGGGGTTTGGCCCACCACCACGGGTGGCCTTGTTGAGGCCTGCTGTCCTGTGGATGACCCCTGTCTTCCTCTCAGAAGTGTCCCTGAGCAGGGTCGGAGGACGGGGACAGGACCTGGCAGCTGCCTCGGAGGGCCATCAGGGTGAGGAGAGAAGGCCCGTGTGTGTCCCCACCCTTACGCACCCGCACCTTGTCCTCCACACAGAGCCGCTGGGGAGCAGGCTGGGCCCCCACCCGCCCGGCGGCGTGCTGTGCAGCTGCCGAGGGCGCCCATTTCCCCCGCTGCTGGCGAGGCCCAGGGAGGCTCACCCTTGGGCCTGGAGTTGAGACCCGGGGGCCCAGAGATGAGGGCTGCCCCACAGGGCTGCTCCGGAGACAGCCGGTGCGGCACAGGGCGGGAGTCTGGGGGTGCAGCAGGGGGCTGAGCCCCGGAGGGGTGGCTGGACGAGGGGTGCCAGACAGAGCCACACTGTGGGGCTCCCCGGCTGCACCTCCAAGCCTCCCGGCGCCGTTGGAGGCTGAAGTGAGGCGCACCCCCGGCAGGGTGGGCCCATGTGTCACGTCGATGGGCGCTTGCCGGCACTTAGCGGGCCCCAGGTGATGCGAGGCCCCGGGACGGTGCTGCACCCCGGCATTCAGCAGCATGCGTGGGGCTCACAGACGCTGGGGGGGGACAGAGGGGCGTGAATGCGCTTTGTGGGGCAGCTGCTAAGACGCAGAAGACAGTGCTGCGGGGCAGGGGCACTTGCCCATGGGGTCTGGGTGGGCCCAGTGACATCTGAGGAGGGTTGCCCCTGGGGTCTGTGGGCTGGTGAGGTCAGGCTGGGAGCACGAGGGGCTGCAGGGGCGTGGGGAGTCTCGTCAGGTCTGTATCTGGACCTGAGCTCACATACCCCCCGCAGCTCTGCGCCCCAACCCTTTCTGGGGGCCCTGGGCCCGCCGAGGCCAGCATCTCTCCAGCTCCCACCTCAGCGTCCCCAGCTTCACCACACGCGCCTGGCCGGGGACCCTGGGTCTGCACATGGTGTGAAAGGGCGCGTGAAGGGTGAGGCCTGTCTCTGAGGGCCCCAGCTGGCCGAGCACAGGGAGCAAACGCTCAGTAAATGTAGCACTGTAGCACTCGTCTGCCGGTCGGCGGCTGTTGCCATGGTGATGATGACAGGGTGGCCCTCTTGCCGGCCATCTCCTCAAGACGAGGAGTCTTCGGCTAGGAACAGGTGCTCACGAGCTAGGGTCCTGCCGAGGGAGACAGGCCCTGCCCTGTGGGGGGCGAGCACTCCATCCCAGGGTTTCCACCGCTTTTATTACACAGTGATGTAATAAAAATCTCAGGGACACGCCCTTGGAGGAGAGCATTGGAAGACCAGGGTCTGGGCCTTCCCCACCGCCTGCGAGCAGAGCCCGGGGCCCTGCCTGAATCCCTGGGTGCGGGGCGAGCACTGCTCAGCCAGGCCACTCAGTCTCAGGGCGTGGGGCTCTCCGAGGATGGAGGGCGCAGAGCAGGGCCTGACCACAGCCAGCACTGAGCCGCAGGACAGCCGCGGCTGCCGGATTCCAGAGCCTGGGGTTGAGGCCACCCTCCATTTGCAGATGGGGAGACCGAGGCTTGCAGCCGGGAGGTGATGTTTGAGCAGACCCAGCTTCCAAGAGGGAGCAAGCCAGGTAGATATCTGCTCGGATCGAGGGGACACAGGGGACAGGGGATGGCAGAGGCCCAGAGATGGGCGGAGCTGGGAGTGGGCGTGGCCGGGCTGGGTTGTTCTGGGGCTGCAAGGTGAGGTGGGGAGCACTTGGGCTCAGGGAGACACAGGGACTCCAGAGAATGGCGAGGTGACAGGCTCTCAGGCACCCAGGAGCAGTGGCGAGCCTCAAGAGTGGAAGAGGGGGTGCCCGATCTCCAGCAGGGTGTGGCGCCGGCCCTGCCCTGGCTCTTCCAGGCTCACCCCGGGGCAGGGTGCGGGCCTGGGGCAGGCAGGGTCCCCAGGAGAGAGAGAGAGATGCTTCTCACGGGGGTTCTGCCAGGCTCCAGTGAGGTTCTGGACCTGCCTGCTGACCGAGATCAGACCCTGGTGGTGTGGGCAGGCCAGAGTCCTAGCTTGCCTGTGAGCTTGTGTTCAGGAGCCGTCTGGTTCCCAGCTTCCTAACCTTGGTCACCACAGACTCACCTGCAGCCACGTTTGCCTGTGTCCATTGCCCTCCCCCCGGGGGCTGGGCAGAGGGGATGAGAACCCTGGTCACCTGGTCACCCGTCACAAAGCCTCCTGTGGCCACGTTTTGCACCCTGTGAAACGTTGAAATAAACAACAGGTTGAGGGCTGGCTGGGGGGCCTGAGGAGGAGCCCCTGAGTGATGTCCCCGCCGGCCCTGGAAATCCCACGCCAGTGACTACTGTCATGGCCACTCACTGTGTAGGGGAGCCTCCCCTGGGCCCCTCGCCCTGCTCAGGAGGGCAGAGCACTGCCATCCCTGTTGTTTCTGGCTCAGCATTATTGCGATACACTCCACCCACTTAAAGCGTACACGTTGGTGTGTTCAGTCCACTCAGAGTCCTGAAGCCAGCAGTCACCTCTGTCCAAGTCCAGAACATTCCATCACCCCAAACAGAAGCCCTGTGCCCATCAGCTGTCACCCCGGCCCCCGACAACCACTAGTCCACTCTCTGTGTCTGTGGATTGGCCTGTTCTGGACGTTTCCCATCAATGGAATCACACACTGTGTGTCCTTCTGTGTCTGGCTTCTCTCACTGAGCATCCTGTTGTCAGGGTCCATCCATGTTGTAGTGAGTGTCAAGGCTTCACCCCTTTTACGTGGCCGAGTGATGCTCCTGTGTGTGGAGGGACCATGTGGTGTTTATCCGTCATCTGCTGGTGGACACTTAGGTTGTGTCCACCTTTGGCTGCTGTGGATGTGTGTCTCCGTTGCCTCTGGTGGGCACCTGGCTGTGGAATCAGGGTCGTGGGGTGACTGTGGCTGTTTTCCGAGGACGCTGCCCCGTTTCACGCCCCCACCGGCCATGTAGGGGCTCCGATTTCTCCAGCTCCTCCCCGCACTGGTCCCTGCTGGCTTTGTGGGTCCAGCCGTCCGGGGCGGGTGTGAAGTGTGTCCCGCTGGTTTCGGGTTGCGTTTCCCTGTTGCCTGTGTTGTGTGTCTGTTCTTGGCTTGTTGCCACTTGTCTATCTTGGGAGAAACGTCTGTTCTGATCCTCTGTCCGGTTTTTGTGTTTGTTTTGAATTTTGTTTTTATTTTTTTATGCAGCAGGTTCCTATCAGTTATCCATTTTATACATGTTAGTGTATGTATGTCAATCCCGATCTTCCAGTTCATCACACTGCCATTCTGTCTGGCCGTTTTTTAACCAGGGTGTTTGTCTTTTCGTTGTTGAATTGTGAGAGTTCTGTAGGTATTCTGGATACAAGTCCCCATCACCTGTGCAGCTCTAGCCACCCTCCCCGTGGCTCAGACAGTGTCCTCTGATCCTCGACCTTCCTTTGCTTTCTGGAGCAGGGCAGGTGGGGGGACACGGTATGCACCGTGGTGGTCCCGCCGTCCGCAGGGTGGGCTGTGCCCGCTGCACCCCGGCGTCGCTCCCCGCAGAGGGTGGCAAGGCCAGTGGTGCCCTCTGCCCCCAGGAACCGCGCCTCTCCCCGTGGGTACGCGGCTGGCCTCGGGTGGAAGGACCTCACGCTCGCGGCTCAGCTCCCTGTTTGCGTGGCTTTGGGACACGTGTGGCCTGGGCCCGGTTCTGGGCCTGAGTGGTGGCTTTGGTGCTCAGACGTCTTGCCGTCCCTGGGGCAGGTCCCCCTCTCCGCTGCCTTGGAACATCATGGTCTCTACCCGCTGGCTGTCCGGCCTGGGGAAAGCAAGGGCTGGGAGGGCAGGTGGCCGGTGTGGATGGAGTCGAGCTCCAGCCTGGTGTCATGGGCTGCATGCTGGGGCTGCCAGAATGTTCCGCAGGCCGGTCCCTCTGCCTGGGTGGTGCCTCCCGCCCTTGGTGGCCACCTTCCTGGGAGCAGATCTGCTCCGAGGCCCAGATAGTCCTGGAGCCCCGCTAGTCACTCTCCCAGCCCTCCTTTTTGTGCGTGTGTGGGTGAGGGTGTCACAGAACACTCTCGTGTCCCCCAAGTTGGGAGAGTGCTGAACCCATGTCAACTAGCTTGTTGACAGATGCGGCTGACTGGAGGCCCCGAAACTGTGACTTCTGTCACTGTGGGGAGCACCGGCTGATGGACTCGGGGACATGGGAGGTCGAGCAGGCCACCTGCGAGGGGAGCATCGGAGGCTGTAGCCACGGGCAAGGGCGTCTGTGCGCCAGCTCTGCCCGGAGCGGCCCGGCCGGACCTGGCGGGTTCACACCCAGGGCCTTGAGATGACGCCCATGCTGGTCCTACCACAGCCCAGAGATCACGCTCGCTGCCCTCTCCTCCCGCAGGATTACATCTGCCCAAGATGCGAGTCTGGCTTTATCGAGGAGCTTCCAGAAGAGACCAGGTAAGGCTGCCCCCGGCACAGACCCCCGGCCCGAGGGTGCGCTGGCCGAACCTGGTAGGGGGGACGGGGGGGCCGTGACGAGGGCCAGCCGCTGGACCTGGGTGGGGGTTGGGCTGGACCTCCGCCCTTAGGTTCCTCAGCCTCCTGCCTCGGGCCCTGGGCAGGGGCTGTGGAAGGCGGCCTGAGGCCCATGGGTAGGGGGGGTCCCGCTTTCGTCCCGCTGCTGACGGCGCCTGTCCTCCCAGGAGTGCAGAGAATGGCTCGGCCCCCTCCACAGCCCCCGCGGACCAGAGCCGGCAGCCGTTCGAGGTGAGTTGTGAGCAGTGGCCTCTCTCCCTGCCCCCGCCCCCTCCGCGCCCCCATCCACGCGGTCACGGCCCTCCTCTCCGCAGAACGTGGACCAGCCCCTGTTCACGCTGCCGCAGGGCTACGGGCACTTTGCTTTCGGCATCTTTGATGACAGCTTCGAGATTCCCACCTTCCCCCCCGGGGCACAGGCCGACGACGGCAGGGACCCCGAGAGCCGGCGGGAGAGAGAGCAGCACTCCCGGCACCGGTACGGCGCCCGGCAGCCCCGCGCCCGCCTCACCGCGAGGCGGACCACCGGCCGGCACGAAGGCGTCCCCACGCTGGAAGGGTGAGGGGGCCCGGGGGCGGCCGCGGGCGGGACGCTCGGGGCTTCGAGCCCGCCCCACCCCGCTCAGGCAGAGCAGCCAGCTATCCTTCCAGGAGGTTCTGTGGGCACGGAGGTGTGGGTGCTGGCTCAGGGGCTGTCCCCTGGGCAGGGCAGTTCCCCGGTGGGTCCGGCTGGCCCGAGGAGCTGTGTGCCCACTGCCTGCCTGCCCTCCCCCCCCCCCCCCCCCCCCCTCCCTCTCAGAGGGGCCTCCGCCCCATGGGCATCTTCATCTGCTGAGATGCGCTGGTCCACGCCCAGACGAGCCGTCCCGGGTGCAGGCGAGCAGCGGTATGCGGTGTCCGGTGTCCCTGCCCCTCCCGTGTGCGGGGTCATGAGGACAGGAGGACCTAGTAGGCCCGTCCCAGCCCTGCAGGAGTCGGGGCTGAGCTTTCGTGGGTCTTTGTAGATGGAACTTGACTGCAGGTAGGCCGAGGCCTGTCCAGCTCAGGACACAGCCTTGGCTCACTGTGACCTCAGCCGGCACGTTTCAGGGCCGCCGCGAACAGCCAGGCTGATCCCACGGTTCCTCAAGCCCTTGGGATCCCCCACGGTGCTTTCCCCAGGTTGCAAAATGAGAATTGGATTCAGTCGTGCATTGACAGGTGCCATGCAGCCCTCAAGGAGACACTGCCTTTGGGCGCCTTTCGTGTTTGGTTCTTATTATTACCAGTTGAAAAGCCAGCCCCTTGACGCTGGCCCCTCCCTGGGAGGGCGCTAACCTTGGGCCTGGCTGCTCTGTTCCAGGATCATCCAGCAGCTGGTCAACGGCATCATCACCCCGGCCACCATCCCCAACCTGGGCCTGGGCCCCTGGTGAGTAGGTGGGGGGGTCCCCCTGTGCCCTGTCCGGCCCCTCTGCCACTTGAACCCCAGACTTCTTTGCCCAGGGGCGTCCTGCATTCAAACCCAATGGACTACGCCTGGGGGGCCAACGGCCTGGATGCGATCATCACGCAGGTACAGGGGCCTCCCTGGGGTTGGCACTGGGCACGACGACTTTATAGGCCCGTGCTCCCTGGAGGACGGGGTGTCGTCTCCCACATCCACGTCCCTGGTGGCACTTGTGAGGTGGGGACGTGACCACCTTGGGGCCTTCCACTGAGTATTTTTGTCACTGGTGCCTGGTCCCCTGGTTGTAGCCGCGCGAGGATTTGGGGAGGTGCCTCGGCCGTGGGAGGTGCCTGCCGGCCCCGGCTGTGAAGTGACGCTCACTAGATGAGAAGAGTGGGCAGAAGCCCGGGGCTGGGCCTCCTGGGGGCAGCTGACCTCTGACCCCCGAGGGGGTCGGGCCAGGACAAACAGGGCCTCGGTGCTTTTGCAGGTAACCCAGCCTTGCATTTCAGAGCCCCGTGGGGCGAGGGCCCTGCCCGCCTGCCAACAAGCTCCCGGCACTCTGGCCTCTTGTGTTTCAGCTCCTCAATCAGTTTGAAAACACGGGTCCCCCACCCGCAGACAAAGAGAAAATCCAGGCCCTCCCCACCATCCCCGTGACCGAGGAGCACGTAGGTACGCGCCTGTGCCCAGCCTTCTCTGGTCCGGAGGCCAGTGTGCCCTCCATCCCCTGGGACACCTCTGGCGGGGGCTGCAGAGAAGCCCCCCTGAGAGCCCCATGGCCCGCCCGCTCCCACAGGCTCCGGGCTGGAGTGCCCCGTGTGCAAGGACGACTACGGGTTGGGCGAGCGCGTGCGGCAGCTGCCCTGCAACCACCTCTTCCACGACGGCTGCATCGTGCCCTGGCTGGAGCAGGTGAGCGGCGGGCCGGCCCGGGACCCTCCCCGCCCCGCCCGCCTCTGAACAGCTCCCCTCTCCCCTCTGTCCCCACAAAGCACGACAGCTGCCCCGTCTGCCGAAAGAGCCTCACAGGACAGAACACGGCCACTGACCCCCCGGGCCTGGCGGGCGTGAGCTTCTCCTCCTCCTCGTCATCCTCCTCCAGCTCGCCCGGTAACGAGAACCCGGCCAGCAGCTCCTGAGCGTCCCAGCTGACCCCCAGGGCGAGCACCAGGCTGCGGGCCGGGACCGCGGATGCCGCGGACTCCCGCACCCCTCGCGCCCATGGACTGCGGTGCCGCCAGGCCCCCCGCGGCACAGGCTTGGAGGACCCGCCCCTCCCGGCTGCGGAGGGAGCCCGGCCTCCCCAGGGCCGGGCCGGGCTAGGCACATGCCGCCTGGGGCGTCTGACTCCCTTCCTGTTTGTCTCTGACCTCACCCTCTACGTGTTCGACGGCAGAAAGGTTTTTATAATTTTAAATTATTACTGCTTTGAAATAAATGGACGTTTGAGCTCACTCGCGGCCCTGCATGATCTGTGGAGAGACAGGGTGGAGTCGCTCGGCTGGGGTCCCAACCGCGTGGACAGGCCGTTGCACCCCACTCCAAGCTCGGGGGCCCGGGACCACCAGGATGACCAGCAAAACAAGGACGAAACTGCTCTGACAGATGTTTTTTAAAGGAGAAAATATGTGTATCTTGAAAGCTATTTAAAAATACATCTACTTAGAAAGAAAAACAGGTGGTTGGCGTGTTACTTGTGTGCGTCGGGGGGCGCAGCCCCGGGCCGGGGAGGTGAGCCGGCCGAGCCCCCGCAGCTGGCGTGTCATCCACAGGCTGTCCCCCATCAGGGTCACATGGCTGCCTCAGCCGGTGAGTGTCCAGCTTGCGCCCTGGGAAGTGCCCCCCATATTGGTCTTCCGTCTCTGAAGTGGAAGGTGGCTGCTGGGAGGGGTAGGAGCCTCCCCTGCACCCTCTTGGCTCCACCCCTGCAACTCGGAGGAAGATCAACCCCCAGGAGGCTGATCACGCCCCACCGCCACCCCAGCCTGTACACCCTGCCGGATCTGAGGGGCTCTGAGGACACCGTGTTCGCGTCTCCAAGGGCAGCTGTGACAACTCACCAAAACTTGGTGACTTAAAACAACACGCTTATCATATCAGTCCTGGGGTCACAATTTGCATCTTAGGGGCTAAATGCAGGCGTGGGCAGGGCTGGTTCCTCCAGAGGCTCCAGGGCAGCATCGGTTCCCGCCTTTTCCAGCTTCCAGAGGCGCCGCCTCCCTGGCTCGCGGCCCCTCCTGCATCCTCACAGCCAGCAGCGCAGCACCTCCCGTCTCTCTCTGCGTCTGACCCTCCCGCCTCCCTCTTATAAGGACCCTGGGATGACGCTGGGCCCCTCAGGGAATCCAGGGTCGTCCCCGTCTCAGGGGCCTTAACTTAATCCCACCTGCGAAGTCCCCTCTGCCTCATGAGGTGACATGTGCTCGGTGGCCCAGGACCAGGCCCTGCCAGTCTGTGGCGGGTCGGTGTTCCCCAGCCTCCCTCACCTCCTCGCTGCCCCAGGCACCCCAATGAGTTCCCAGGTCCGAGCCTTTGCTTGGCTGTGCCCAGCCTGGAGTGCCCTCCCAGACCTGGCCCCCGCGTGGCCGAGTCCCCGTCTCCCGCCTGGCAGGTGCTTTTGTCGAAGCCTCCCTGACCCCAGCTTGTGACTGGACTCCTATGGCCCCTGCTCAGCTCAGTGTCCCCTCAGACTCAGGGGCTCCCTGAGGGCCGGCCGCGTCTGTGGGGTCCGGCGGTGTCCCCAGTGCCCAGCACAGCAGGCGCTCAACGCATGTGAAACCACTGAGTAACCAGACACGGATCCGGCCTTCCCCGGCCTCGGTCTTCAGCTGCCCGCCCGGCTCGCGCGCCTCCTGGAATCTCGGTCCAGCCGTCACTCATGGATCCTGGGCCTCAGGAGACCAGGACGGGCAGGAAGTGCGTGGACGGGTGGTGTCGCTGCGTGCGGACCCCGCGCCTCGGGGCCCCCCGCCCGTCCAACGCCAGGAACATGGGCCGGCCGCGGTGGCGCCAGGGCACAGACTCGTAGGTGTTGTAGCCGCTCCCGGAACTTAGCGCAGACCCGCTCACAGCGGCCCTGGCCACGCCCCTGGCCACGCCCCCACTCGGGCGCGCCCCACGCACCCCAGCCCGACCCGCGCACTTGCACTCACCGACCCGGAGTGGCGGCCGCGGCGGTTCATGGCCACATAAAAGCCGGTGTTCACGGCCTTGAGCGCCACGACGCCCACGCGGATGGAGCGCATCTCGAAGAAGACACCTGCGGGGAGGGGCTGGGTCAGGGCCCGCCCACCACCCACTTGCCCACCCACCCCGCTCTTCATTCATTCATTCGTGTGGGGAACATTCCCCAAGTACCTACCGTGCTCCTGGCCCTGTGCTGGGCGTGGGGATGCACCAGGGACCACGCAGGTCCGTGGGAGTGGCCGTGGCCGTGGGAGTGACGGGGTGGGGGAGGAAGGACACCAGGCCAGGGGGAAGGCCTGAGGCAGGACTGGCCCTGATGGGTCAGGGGGAAGTCATTGGGGAGAGCTCAGGGTTTTCTCTGGAGGGCAACGGGGAGCCCAGGGGAGGGCCCCGTTAGTCAGGGATGAGAAAACCAAGCCAGAGTAGGTGAGTGCCTGCCAGGTGAGCTGCTGCTGTCAGATGTAGACCCCCGGCAACGACCCTGACAGCTCGGCTAGCCACGGCCGTGTCCGGTTATGGAGGAGACAATTCCAGACAGCAGGTACGGCCCGGGCAACGGCCTGGGGGTGGGACACAGGGTGTTTAAAGCACAGTGTGTTCGCATCAGTGATACCCGCTAACACTGCTTGAGTGCCAACTGTATGCCAGGCATTGTATCCCACCAAGCCCACACAGCAGCCCCTGGAGGGAGGTGTGGACTGTGCCCACTTCCCACAGGGGAAAACTGAGGCCTGAGAAGTGGCAGAGCCAGTTTCTCGGGCCCTGTCTGTGGATGGATGACCCTGGGCGAGCCCTGCCCCATCTGAGCTGATGTTTCCTATCCAGTGAAGCAGAGCTGGGGGACAAGCCCCAGCCCACACTCTCTGAGCCACACCCAGGCACTGGGGCCTAATCTGGAGTCAAGGCCTTGCCCTCTGGTGTTCACTCTGGACTTGGATGCCTCAGGTGACGGGCAGCTCACCTCATGTCCCACAGGACATTTGCACCTGCTCTTTCCTGGGTCAGGCACTCAGCTCCTCTTGTGCATGGCCAGCTCCTTCTTTATGAGGCTCAACTCAAGCCCACCTCCTCATTGTCACCCTTATCGCTGCCCAGATGGGGAAACCGAGGCTCAGAGAGAAGCAGTGACTGTCCCAGGTCACCCAGCAGAGCCAGACCTCACCCCCAGCCCGAGGCCACCCTTCCTGGCCAGGCCCAGCACTGAGCAACCGGCCCAGCCACTCCCCCTGTCCTTGCCCTCGGCCAGTTAGCCTAATGAGGGCCTTGAGAGCCCCAGATGAAAGCAGGTGGGAAGGGCAGGGGTGATTATCTGCCCTAATGGTGGTGATTCAGGCAGTGGCCGGCAATGGCTCGGCTCCCCCGCTCCCCTGCCCAGCCTCAAAAATGTGGGGAGACTGAGACAAGCCCTGGGGTCACCGACTGCCCTGGTCTCCCACTTATCACCAACCTCCTCCTTCTCCTTCTTTGTCCCTTCATCTCCTCTTGCCTCATACATTCCACAAACACTTATGGAGCACCTACTGTTTGCTGGGCAGGGCAGCAGGGATATGACTCCAACTCGATGAGGTTCTGGGCACTTTGGAGCCCTAGCTCCATGCCCCCACCTCCCACCTCAGGCAGGTCATTTGCCCTCTCTGTGCTTCAGTTTCCTCATCTGTCAAATGGGTGTCTAGGAAGACATAGAGGGGTCCCCAACTCTGGCAGGTCCTGAGTTTTGTTTTGCAGGGTGGGGAGTTCAGAGTTCAGACCCAGCTCTGCCCCCATCTCATTATGTACTGGGCCCACGGGGGCCCTTCCGGGAGCCTCAGCTTCCCCTCTGTAAATGGGTCCCGTGACCCCAACGTCAATTATCTCACAAAGACCCTTCTGCTGAGCCAGGACCAGAGCTGGGAGCTTCCCCTGTGACCTTCACCCCAACTGTCCAACCCTCCTTCCAAGTGAGTTGGACCCCATTTTACAGTTGAGGAAACTGAGGCCCCAGTCAGGAAATGACTTGGCTGACGCCACGCGGCCAGAGAAGCCTCCGGACCCTCCCTCAAGTGAGAGAGGGCCCAGTTCACTGCTGCTATTACTGCTGCCTTTGCTGTTATTGTTCGCCTATCTGCCCTGTACCCCTGCCCCCGCGCAGCGCCCCCGGCTACTCACTGTCAGGGCTGTTGCGCCAGCGGGTGCCCTGCACGTGGCCGCTAGGGTCCACACACAGGAAGAAGTGGGTGGAGGAGAAGAGGCTCCGTCAGCGCACGTCGCCCTCCAGATGCATGTAGCTGCGTGGTCTCCGCGGACTGTTTGGGGTCCCCGCGGCGCCGGGCGCCCGTGCCAGCAGTAGCCACGCCAGGTCCAGCCACAGGCGGCCGCGTACGGCCCCGCGCCCCGCTCGCCGCCGCCTGGTCTTGACTCCCCGCGCGCGTCCGCGGCTCTGCCATTGATAGATGGGGGGGCAGCGTGCCCGACGGGGCCAATAGGGCGCCTCGGGGGCGGGGCCAGAGCCACAGTGGGTGGGCCAGGATGCGGGGCGGGGCCGTGGTCAGGGCGGCCTGACCGCCCTGCAGAGTCTGGGACAGGCCAATGCGGCTCCTGGGGGGCGGGGCCAGAGCCGCAGGGGGCGGGATGACTCCCCACGGGGGTGGGGCCAGTACAAGGGCGGCGCCCATTCGGGAAAACACTCCGGCCTCCGTGCGTGTTTGTTTGCCTTGCGGGGCGGGGAGGGCGGTGCTTGTCCGTGAGTAGCCAGATTGGCCTGCAGGGGCTGCGGGAGTGTGAGAGAGGCGGGCCACAGAGACACGGCGGGAGTCAGAGCCAAAGAGAGGAAGAGACAGAGCCAGAGACAGAGAGATATAAAGACAGAGCCAGGTGTACAGCACAGGTCTTGTAATAACCTATAATGGAAAAGAATCCGAAACAGAATAGTATATATGTATAACCGAATCACTTTGCGGTACGCCTGAAACTAACACAACATTGTAAATTAACTACACATCAATTTTTTAAAAGGGCAAAAAAAAAAAAAAAGAGCCAGAAACAGAGAAAGACAAAGAGACAAGAGACTGAGAGGCAGAGATATAGACAGAGACTAAGATGGAGGGACAGAGTCTATGAGACTGCACAGGCGGAGATGGCTGAGACAGAGACAGAGACAGACAGATGTGTGAGAGACAGAGAGACAGGGAGAGACGGAGCTGCCCAGGGGTCAGAGGTTGGGATGGAAGTTCTGGCCCGAGTGCCTGTCCTTGCCAGCCAGGCCCCTGAACAGGGAATGCCCCGGGGGGCTTGTCTACCCTTCCAACTACAGCTTCCTGAGAGCCAGTCCCAGGGGGCATGCGGCTTCGCTGAGGGGTGGGCCTGGGGGAAAGTGTGGGTGGAGGGGCAGGTGAACTGTTGGAGCATATGCTGTGCACACAGGTGTTGGGCAGCAAGGTGGCCGATGGGAGGATGGACAGTTGGGCATGTCCGAGGCCAGCTGATGGGGACCGGGTTGATGACCAAGG